AAAAAAATCATTAGCAAATTGCTATGGTATATCAGGAACAAAACACTGTTCTAACTGTTCTGTTATAATGGAACACAGTTGACACACATGATTATCTTTTGGTTAAACAATTAAATACATTCAGATATTTATTTTAAATGTGTTTATCCTTAAAATAGACTATATCACATTAGCAGAAGTTGTACAAAAAAAACTAAACTAAACACAATCTAGATTTTGAAATTCAATTACAGTAGTAAATATTCTTGTGTTAAACTGGCCCCACCTGCTGTCCACCATTAATGCAGCAGGCCGCATCAGGCAAACAGAGGAGAGTTTGGTGTTTGGAAAAAGTTGTGTCAATTTGCCTAGATCACTGAAAGATACAGAAGGGTCACAGTTAAAGGCAAAAGCAATAAAATAAAAAAAAACAGTAAGTGTGTTACTATGGCTTTAAGCCACCACAATAGCTTCAGCTTCAATACTTGATATGAGGAGTGGTAGCTCAGAAGGTTGTGAGTTCAAATCCCAGCATTGTCAAGCCCTTCACGGAATAAAGGTAAGGCCCTTAACCGTATCTGCTCCAGGGGTGCCGTATCATGTTTGTCCCTGTGCTCTGAATCCAGCTTCCTAACAAGCTTCCTAAGAAGCTGGGATATATGAAGGAAAGAATTTCACTGTGCTATAATGTGTAAGTGACAAATAACCCCAAACTGTCACCACAAAGTTGGAAGCAAATAGTTGTATTGAATGCCTTTGTATGCTGTAGCATTAAAAATTTTCCTTCACTTGAACTAAGAGGCCCAAACCTGTTCCAGCATGACGATGCCCCTGTGCACAAAGCGAGCTCCATGAAGACATGGTGTGTGAATGTTGGAGTGGAAGAACTCGAGTGTCCTGTACAGAGCCCTGACCTCAACCCCACTGAACACCTTTGGGATGAACTGGAACACCGACTGCACCCCAGACCTCCTCAACATCCCAACATCAGCGCCTGACCTCACTAATGCTCTTGTAGTTGAATGAACACAAATCCCCACAGCCACGCTCCAACATCTAGTGGAAAGCTTCCCAGAAGAGTGGAGCTCATTATAACAGCAAAGAGGGAATAAATCTGGAATGGAATGTTCAACAAGCACATATGAGTGTAATTGTAACATCAGTCCACTGAGGCGAGCGTAGTGAAGAACCCAAGTGCAGCTTTTATTTACAAAGTGAAAACCAAAAACACAAATGAAGACTTGCCTTGACTTGAACAGACTTGAACAGACTTGACCTCACATA